GAATTATTGTTTTATTCTTATATTATCACAACACTAATAAGCAACCGAAAAGTTTTCATAAAACTCCGAAATAAATACTACAATTCACAATATTTTTCAAATGACAAACATTTTTTTCTTTTTTTCTAACCTCCCACTGTGAACGACATAAAACAAAAACTATGTAAGTGATGCTTGTAACTGTTATGCGACAAGGGAGCGTAATCATTCTGCCATTGGCATAAAAAAATTAGAACGTTTAAGTGCCATAGACCCTAAGTAAAGGAGCGTGCCTCGTGATACACAGCCGCAGACGCGAGGCGTATACCATGGTAGACGGCCTGCATACAACGGTCTTACGCTTGTCGTCTACTATGGCAGACGCGCCGCATACAACAGATTCTGAAATAATTATTCCGAATGAATTCGATAGTTCTCATGTTTCAGTAAACCATCACACAAATCTAATATGTAGCTATGATTTACACGACAAATATTTGGATACACGTCTAACTGAAGATGTAACCGGTTGTCTCAGTTTGTTTGAGTTTGCTAATTAGACTGACTAAATTAATGCCCTAATTTTCTTTCTAACTATTACGAAGGTCCTTTCAGAGCTAATTTGACGACAACTTAGTACTATCACACATGGAACATACTTCAATACTTCAATGTATGTGATAGTACTAAATTGTCAAAAATATCAACGATTACAAAACTCTTAGGGTTAGTTGCACCAACTTACTTTGATAATAACTAATATGTTTAAGTACCAGTTAAGCGAATAATGAGTTTGCTTTTACCATTTGACAATGTTTAGATGACGTCATAATTTTATTTCTTAACTATAACCGCACAAGCTTGGTTGGTTAAAGTAATAGTTTCACTATGCGAAGAAAGAGACTGGTTCCAACACATTCCAATGCCAATGTTAAAGTCGACGCGATATTTGTCGCCTTTGACATAAACCTTAACTTTAATTGCTCTAAATGTACAATCCAGCCTTACGCGTTTTATTACGAGCTTTTCTTCTGTATAGTTTACTGTAGGTGTTATATTCCTAGCAATATATTTGGATATATTATTTGTTTGAATAATATATCCAAATATATATTTTTTTAGAATAAAGACGTTACTGTAGCTTCTTAGTCTCAGTATCATCTTACGCATACATATGAAAGTGGCTGCATTTGACGTCATCACGGGATTAAAGAAACGAAATACGCATAAATCGTAAAACGAAGAAAAATTACAAAATTATTAATCACTTACTGAATATTTAGTAGTCAAATCATTTCAATAAATATGATTAATAAACATATTTTTGTATTACATAAAAAAAGTATTATTTGAAAATAAAAGAAGAAAAAACACTCCATCTGGATGTTTACATACTTATGATAATACGTAACTGTACGAAGTTGGAGTAAATCCTACATTTACTCACAGAACCCTCCGCTGTAACCCTATACTCTGGAGAGTTTCACAAAATCCCATTTTAATTGGCTCCGTCACTGTTGAAGTCTTCACGGAAAAGGCAAAGCTCACCCCTGCCATTCGGACGTTCTAATACTTATGTACATCAGTTTACGAACATTCAACGACCCGTCATTGGTAACAGTAATGACTAAGCGTTTTAACATGAAACCGGTCCCTTAAATTGTATTTCGAATTGATATTCCCAACCTTTCCATTGTTTAATGTTTACCCGACATTTTGTTAATATTATTTCACTTTATTTAGTAATACAGTATTGTTATGATAATTTCAAATTCGTCCATTTTCCAACATTAAGATTTGGTGTTATAAAATTCTTATTTTAAAATAGATTTTCTAATTGATGTTCCATATCATAATTGTTTATACCTATATTTCGTATTATACCTTCGTGAAAAAATATGCACAGTTCAAGATATTTTATTTTATTTTTATTTATTTTACTTTTTCTAAATTGAGAAAAACACAATATCTAAGCTGATTATTCTCAATAACTTAAGTTTTTTACGTCTCAATTCAAATTAGTCTTGACCTGGATAGCAATCAAAAGGCAATATTATACACTAACCGAGCTGTCTTTGATCGCTGGTTAAATAATAAATTTAAATAACTGAAGACTCGACCTCGGTACGGGACTAGTAAAAAAACAATAATTTTATACAGGATAACGTACTTGTTTTGCAACCTCCGACCCGTGACCACGGCCGGTGTAACCCGGTCGAAACGTCGGGAAATTTAGGTAGGTGAAAAGCCTAACTATCAGTTTTATCGCGTTAATACTAGTTTCATGCAATCTAATATAATGGAACGCGAAAATTTAAAAGTTTGAATAACAAACCGCTACGGGGACGGAGGTTGCAAAATAAGTATGTCATCAATAATTTTATTGTTACGAGTTAGCGACCGAATTGACCGAACATTCGATCGCAAACTAATGGAGACTGACCATTAGACTGGAGACTTATTCCTGAAAAATCGTGTCGCTTTAATCGGTATAGACGCCAACATGAATGTCACCCAACACTTTTACCTTTTTTTGCACCTCTCCCTTAAAGTTTAAATACTATTTATATGTATTTTATCTCTAATAAACTAAATTTACCTAACAAAAACTGATAGTTTCTAAGGATACATGTATTTTATGTATGACTTTTGCTTTACGTATTTATTATCGTTTCCTTTCAATATTATAAAAGAATCCCATTGTATTGCCGTGCAAGTAAACGATGTGGTAAATATAAAAACGATTCTGTATGTAACTTACGAGAAGCACCATCCGAACAGTTCTAGAGGTAAGTTTACAAATAAATCGGACCATAGCCACGATTTATGCTTAATATACCGCCTTCTACATTTAGAAGGATCGATTATAAGCTCACCATGCTTGGTTAAGTAACCCTGAAATAAAAAATAATAATAATTTTATCGGTAAGTTATAAAACGTCCGAAAACGTTTAATAACAACTTGTTTCATATTTATCATGTAGTAATATCAAATAAAGAAAATAACAATTTTTTTAATAGTAGGTTTTATACATATAAGCCTCCCTCTTAAATCACTATGTATATTGATTGAAACCGCGTTATAATCCGTTATGAAGCTTAAAAGATCTCAACTTACAGACAGTAGGAAGAGACTATTTTATATTATGTATAAATGGACCGTTAAACAAAGAGTAGACGATTAACTATTTAAAATTTTAAATGGTACCGTACCTGATGTATAGTAAGACAGATTTTTAAGTAGAAAAATATATCGAAGACCGCTTGCATCCAAAATATGATATAGCAATCGTTCAACGTTGTTAGTTCGTATAAAGTCACCACATAGTTTATAGTTACGACAAAACAGGTTATATATCCAAAACCCTTTATCAAAAAGAAAAGTATTAAGAGTAGAAAATATGTCACAATGTTACGTACAAAAATAATGTATAACTCTTAACAATTAACATGACACCTGATTATATAAAGTTTCAAATTGCTCTCATTTATATATGTTAAAATGAATCACTATGAATGAATCGTCTATGCTACGCCGTCTTTTGTATGTACATACATACAAATGTAAGTGGATAACTGGGCACTTACATTTGTATGTATGTACAAAGGGCTGTATCAAACTGGATGACTCTTTTTTATGTGTTCCTTATTGTCAAGACAAGGTTTGTTTATAAGAAAATTTATAAAAAGATAGAATTATAAAAAACGGGTATATGGCGGTACGAAGTTTGCCAAGTCAACTAATAAATAAAAAAATTGTGAACCGGTGATGATCAGAGGTAGTGTCAGGTCTTTCGTCGCGTCATAAATTAACGCAGCATTTCTTTGAAGTTATATTAGCGTTTCGAAAAATTACAACATTTTTCATTTTGAGAAATAGAATAGGTGCCATATAATTCTTACGAGTAATTATATATTCAAAAAGGTATAAAGAGATCACATACAACTGTAGAGGGAGACAAAATCATGAAGCTAGTCAAATAATACAGAAAAAAAGCCAATAATTTTAATTTGAATTAATTACACAATAACTATCATAAATATATAAAAATCTATCGTATCACGCCTTTGCCACAAAATAAGAGATAACTCTCAAATTTTCCATTATAAAAAAAGGAATATATTCATCTATTTTAAAATCTCTTTTTCACCAATATAAATCTATATTATCACCGACTAACATTAACCTCCGTTTTCACAAACCTAGAACAAGGCAAAGCTTAACAAGGAAACGCCGAATCTTACGAATCGCCTGAGCAGATTAGTTTAATTCTAAATAAATATATTTTTCTTTTATCCCTAGAAATATTTGTCCCCTTTCATATACGCAAATGCTTAGTGCAAGGAACCGCATAACAAATATCAAAACTTAAGGCATTGGTTAATTTCATTAGTTGGTTCCTAGTCAATGGTGAAATGCATTTTTACCTTAGGCGCTTCCTAAATATTTAGGAGACAGATTTGGACGACTCCTAAGTTTAGTGAAAATAGGCATGAGTATATTATATTTAACTTATGTTACCTGCATACGATAGCTTCCTGTAGGTGAAAAACTTTTTTAAATCGGGCCAGTAATTTCGGAGTCTATTCAATGGAATCAAATGATCAAATCTTTCCTCTTTAATATTAGTACTAATAATATAGCACGAAGTTCCCAGGGTCAGACAATAAATTGATACAAAAATGCAAATAACTCCCACATTAGTTTACGAATCTAAATAAGACCCAAATAATAAATAAACTGGTTTACGTTATTTTAAACGTACAATGATATTCTGTTAAAACAGCTTCAAAAACAGCCGCAACAGCAACAAACCTTCTTCGAAAGATAATAAAGATTATGTTCGATTGAATTTCTAACGCAGGGTAATTAATGGTCGACTCGACTATTTAAGCAAACTAGGAAACTGCATAAGGCGCACTTATTATAGGGACGGCGTGGCATAGACTGTTTGAACTGTAATTATAGATCAGCTAATAGCTCATCTAGTAATAATATACACAGAATTCTTAGAGTTTACCTGAAACAACCATGATCCTGGTCTCAGTATATTTGTAATGCTCGAATAACTATAATTTGTCGATGTACTAGCAGTAAGAGATCTGTTCGCTTGACTGGTGTCTGCAAAAGAACTGGTGATTGTCAGTGAACCTAAAAAAGATAAAGTTAATGTTGACAATTCTATTAGCACAAGAAACATAGACCACAAATGGCGGCCTCATTGCTGAGCAGTACATACACCTCATTGCTAAGCAGTAAACTTTTTCCAACAACTGATAGTGAGAAACATAATGATATGAATAATGTTCTATTTTTTTTTAATAGAGCGCCTATGTTAGGCAATAACGCTTCAAGCAGTGACATTATTCCGTGTCATGTCGTTCGGTGGATAAATTTGAGATAAATCACTAAGTCGGTAACACTATTATTCTTTATCATTCGTTAATCTTACTAAAGTACATGTCAAAGTAATAAAATGAAACAATGTCTAAAAAATTAGGCGATCGCTCTGCTGGTTAAATTATAAACATCTGAGTCTAAATTCTAGTACGAATGACGACCTCAACAGAAACGGTGTGAACTAGAAATAAAGCAACTGCATAGTTTGATTAAAGCCGTCTGCAGTAACGAGCTCCCAGTACGACGTTGCAACTATTTTATTTAGTTATTACCGTTAAAGTCGTATTTGAAAACGCTGTCTCTTCTATTCCTTTTTACAGTACGTTTTTGTTATAATATTATATAGCTAACAGAAAATATTTCCTGTTACATCCTCTATAACTTTGAAAATCGATTAAAGAGGTTTTATAACATTCGAAATAAATTCTCCTTTAAAATAATGAAACTTTCATCATAGCCCTACTACTAGCTCGAGTTAATAAATTTTTGATCACCCATCGTTGTTGTTTAACGACGAAAGTTGCTTAACAAACGTATCGCAGACCGAGCGGGCTAAGCACTACACCATTGAGCTCTGGAACTAGAACTTTACTATTAAATATTTGATTGTAATTTTATTTGTGTGCGCCAATAAATTTTGATTGTATAGTTTAATACTCATAATAATTTATAATCTGATCAGATACCAGATTAATTGAACTTTTAGCACTTATACGGAAATCTTATCAAACCTGAGACAATACAGCAAGGTTCATTATCTGTATTAACCCGCCCAGGAGTAAATCCCGAGCCACAGAGACACCTAGAATTAAGCGTGCGAACCATTCGACCACAAATGTTGTTGAAAATTATATTTTCCTCTTTCTTCTATATCAAAATAAAGTAGAAATTAGAAATTTATCAGAAACCTCTTTGTTTCTGAAGATCAATGAGCTACGTGAGCACTTGAATATTAGAACAGTTCGAGAGGAGATTCAGTACAAGAAAATATATAGTCCGCATTATGACACACACAAACAGTCAAGCGACTGCTCTAAAGACTCCTTTCGTAAACAAACGGCTTAAATGGCATTATTTATGAAACATATACCAATTGAATGAAACTGGTACAGATAAAAGGTCCTTTAATAAACAAAAGGCTTAAATGCCATTATTTATGAAACCTATGCCAATTGAATGAAACTGGTACCGATAAAAGGTGAATTCTTCATTGGGAGGACTAATCTTACTCAAGATTTTTCACACGGAACCCATTTGCTAGAGGCACGGCGAGAGGATCGCATGATAAAGATTACACAAAAAAGTTTTTTCTATCTATCTATATCTTCACGCCGTATAAATGGTAATTATATATAATGGTAGGAAAAGAGAATCGAACACCACAAAGGTTCTAACATACATCTTTCACCTTGTCCACTTTCATTACTCTTCATACGTACCATAGTAAAAAAAGAACTTCTTTCTGTAAATTCCAGATTAGTCCGAACAATTCTAAACCAGTTCTGTTTGATTTGTTAGCCTGGCACATCATTCAGGGTTTCATTTTGACAGATAAATCCGGGTCTCCGTTACATGATAGAGTTAAAGAACTAATATACTTAAAAATATACTTATATGCATAAATTATATGCATTTACATATAATTAATGCAAGATGATGTTTATTTAGATATTGTAGATTTTACGCATTGTTTATAATTACTAACTACATCATGTATTTAGTAAAAAGTATATATAAACTTATGTATTGACCGAAAAGTATTAATATCACAATTAAAATCCATCTCCTGTCAAAAGTTACCTGCTTTTCTATTTTCTTTTATCACTTCTCGCGCTCTGGTTGTCACTTGTGTTTTGAGCATTTTGTTTGACTTTGTTCTTTTTTTTTTAGTAATACTTCGCTGTTACAACTGTTGTTCTTCAGTTTTGTTTTGTATGATTAAAACTGTTATTTATTGTATTCACAATCTGTTATTTAATAATACGTTTATTTTTGTTCAATAAAGAGCATTAATTATTATTATTAAAATGTTACACTTGATAAAATTATCAAATTAATATGAATATGGAACCCTAAAATTTTTCCATGTAGTATGTTCTAAATTTGTGAATAACTCAATGCGCATAATATGAATAGAATGAGGGGCTCGATAGCGCATTGGTTAACGCGTTCGGTCTGCGATAGGTAGTTGAACAACGTCTGTAAAAATCGGTCATAAGATAGGTTTAAATTTAAACTAAAATATTTATTTCTAAATTTAAATTTTAAATACAGCAATCGTAAGAAAAGTTCAAGCATCTACTGGTAAAACCCATTTCATTTTTGTGAAAATTGTCAGTTAACAGTTGTAATAACAAATATTATGTATTAACTGAAGAATATACATTAATACTTTACCAAAAGCATCATTCCTACTAGATTCACTTTTTGAATCAAACGCAGATTCCAAAGATAGTAAGTCCGTTTCAGATTCTTCTGTAAAACAGATAATTAATAAATAAATATTAGAGAACATCATATTTACTAATCAGATTTTAAAACGAGTAGCCAAAGCCGTCGTATTATAGAATATCTGAGACAACGAAGGAACACAACACTCAGCACAGATATAATACAGAAAACTTCATTTTCTAAGTTGTTCCGACCGGGAATCGAACCCGGGACCTTAGATATGGCGACACCTTGAAAGACTCGGCTACAGATGTCGTCAATTAGAAATAATGTATTAAAAGCTGGAGATTAACGTGGAAATATGCATTTCAAAGTGTAAAATATCCTTTGCAAAGAAAAATCTATTTGAAATTCCAGAATTGGGTCGCATGTAAATTCTCTCCCGGAACAGAGAACTGTTAACGTGCGATAAAAAGTATGAAAAGTTGATCACTGGCAGCAAAAGAAACTTTTGAAAAACCGGTCGAGAATTCTGTTGGTATAAATATAGAATTTTCAAAGCTTCTTATTGGTTTATTAATAAACTAGCTGTTTTACTGCGACTTTGACTCCATAAATTATCGCCTACAAACTATTTCCCTATAATTTCGCCCGAGTAAATTAAAGCCTATATAACCCGTACTACATATATCGGTATCAGTATTACCGATAAACATGAAACTAGCATTAAAAATTCCAAATTCAAAATGTTTTTTAGCTCTCCAGTAACTTCGCCAGAGTGATCTTGTTTTCATACTTCTAATTCCAGAAATGAGAAAAATCCATTTCAATTCACCCCCTTTTTTATTCCCCTTAGAGCTAAAACTTCCAACAATAACCTTTCTTAGTGCTCATTTATATTGTAAAAGGAACCCCAGCACCAAATTTTTAAAGATGTCAATGATATAAATTATCAAAAGCAATAATAATCAAACACAATATCGTTTTAAACTTTACTTCAAAGTCAAAACCTTTACGAGGGTCAAACTGAAAGTTCTTAGAAAATCAAAAACTGATTACATTAGCCAGTTATTAGTTTTATTATATCTTTTCAAAATATTGTCCATTCACGTCAATACACCGCTGCATGCGATGGAACCACTGGGAAAAGCACTTTGCCCACTCGTCCTTAGGGGTCTCTTCAATGGCATCGCGATACGCAGCCACCGCTTCTTCAGCATTCATAAACCGCTTTCCTTTAAGTTTTTCTTTAATTTTTGGAAATAAATAAAAATCACAAGGCGCGAGGTCGGGGCTATACGGCGGGTGACCCAGTAATTCAACTTTTGATGTCGCCAAATAGTCGATCGTTCGCTTGGCGGTGTGCGACGAGGCGTTGTCGTGGTGAAGGAGGATCCTACTGCGAGGTCGTTTCTCTCGAACTTTTTCCAAGACAAGTGGCAAACAATTGGTAGTGTACCATTCTGCAGAAACTGTTTTTTGATCCTCTAACACAATTGTTGCAAAATGACCTATCCTTCCAAAGAACGAGGCCACCATTTTTTTTCCCGCACTTCGATCTCTCTTCACTTTAGTTGGCAACTCCTCGAAAGGAAACACCCACTGAGCAGATTGTCTTTTGGTTTTAGGATCATAACAGTAAATCCAGCTTTCGTCACCTGTTAGTATGTCGAACACAGCATTTGTCACCTCCGTTAAATCTTTCAATCATTTTACGACACCAATCCACACGATGGAGTTTTTGAGCCTCAGTCAAATTATGAGGTATCCACCGGGCGCAAAGCTTCCTGACCGCTAAATGTTCGTGGAGGATTTTGTGCACTTGACTCATATCGATGCCTAAGCTTGTCCGAATCTGTTGATAGGTCACTCTTTTGTCAGTCTCTATCATACGCCGCACAACACAGATGTTATCTTCAGTCGTCGCCGTAGAAGGCCGTCCCTCACGTAAATCATCAGTGAGATTAGTGCGACCACGTTTAAACTCATTAAACCAGTTGTAAACAGTCGCACGAGATGGGGCTTCATCGTGAAAGGCCAATCGTAGTCTATCATAACTTTCTTGTTGACTTAAATGACATCGAAAGTCATAAAAAATCATTGCACGAAAATTTTCTCGTGTTAAATTCATGATGACGTGACACAGACAATTTTCAATTTGCCGCCAAATCGTAAAACAAATGACAAATGAATGAAATATATACTCAGTAATATTGGCAAAGAGTTATATTTTCAAATTTTAGAATTATTTTTTTATTATATTGTTTATAAGTGGCCAGTTCTAAGAACTTTCAGTTTGACCCTCGTATTCGCCTTAGACGTTATTAAAACCTTAAAAATAACTATTTACTCCAAATATTTAATGCGTAGATGTTCTATTAATTTATAAAGTATCATAATAATGCTCACGAAATACCTTTAGACGATGTTACAAAGTCCAAGCCTCTTTTGTGAGATTAAGAGATTAGCTTTTGTGATTAATCCTTCTTTATTAGTTTCAACTTACCTGAGGAATTATCGTCAGCTATATTCACAGTTATAGGCATTATATAATCCTTGGATGTTTCCAATACTTTGTTGAGAGGTTCTTGTATTTTAGGATAATATTTAATGAGGTTGAAAAATGTTTGACTTGGTATCACAAGCAAATCTAAACTGCGACTCGAATATATAGCAATAGATGAACACGCAATAGGTTGCTGAAAGTAAATAAAGTAATTGTATGTATTAATTATTGAACTTAAGTATTGATATTACCTCAAATATTATATGTTGAAGTACTCGATTTGTGAATCTGTCTTCTTGTGCGGGCGTGATTATTTTTTCTTTTGGCATTTCTTTTTAATAATTAATCAAAAAGTTGTTGAATTCTGTAATTGGCTTCAGTTACTATCGGATCGCAATATTACAGAACGTATTTTTAAATAAGCTGTGGAGTTTCTGAATTATATTAAAAAGTTTATTTTTATTAATTTTCAACTATATCAGATACAGTCAACAGCAATGTCAGGTTATAAAAATCTGTCAAATTTCAAATCTTAATACGTTACTATAATTAATTGAGGAAATTTACATATTGTGACGTATTGCCGTATGCTCGGATCCTTAATTAAGTAGCGAGAACCCTATGTATAAAAATGAAGGTAACACAATGCCCAGACCTGGGACAATATAAGAAAGTATAAAACCTGCATGAGAGCCACTCGGTTACGGATGTCGTGAAATTAAATTAGAAGTTATTTTTAATTATTCTGAGCTACTTCTAAAGGAAATATACTATTTGAATATAAACAATCAACATTATAGAATTTCTCAACTTTTCTCTCTCGAGAAATAGATGACGTGACGTGATTCCATTTGTCTCGAGCTACGTCTGAACAGAATCTATTATGTTCTCCTCGGAGAATTTATTATATCATTATCAATTGAAAAGTCGGTCGACTAATAACGACAGATAGTATCTAGTGTTGTTTATTATTCGGTAGCTTCACTATCGAGAAATGTAGATATCGAATAATCTACACTACCGAGAACTGTAATATCGCCGAGAAGTTAATCGATTCAGGTAAGCAATTTAGACACATGTAAACTAGTGTGTAAGCTACACTTATTCAAACCAATAGCACGAGATCACCGGTTACTGAATTGTTTATAATTTAACATGAGATATGTATAAATAAACAATTCAGATATTTATTTGAAATGTTACCAGGAAAAAAATGCTCTCAATGTTCGAGAAAACTATACATGTGTAACCATTTATTAAGATAGAATTTAACATTTAATCCAGTTAGTTATTTATTAGACAGTAATAAGACATTACACAGATAATAGCAATATTACAATTATAAAATCGTTTGCAAATAAGTGTTTCCTTAATTACAAGCTGCCATGGCATATATACAAGGAGGGAAGTATTTATAAAAAAAAACATTAGTTGCCGAAATCAAACTAGATGTCGCTACGGTACATTCTTGATTTCTCCATGACAACCCTTCCGGTTTTCTTTCATGTTTAAAAGTAAATTATTCTTCAAAACTCAATAAACAACTCAAATTCTGTTTGTACTTTTTCGTATTTATATTGATATCTAAGTTTCGAACTTTTACAAAATTTCAATTTTTTAATATATCAGTTAAAAGGAACGGGATGTGACTGTCTTTAGTCCATTCGTTTCCTGCAAAAATCAACTTTTGCTAGAGTCGCCATCTAGTGGAGGTGCTTTTTTATTGGTTTCGTTTTTTTTTTAAATACTTCCTCATTACAAAGGAGGAAATAAATTTAATAAGATTGCACTTACTTATCCTTCGTTTATGAGACCCTAATAATCGTAATAACAGAAGATCTATATACCATACGATAGACATTGTATAATATATGTATATAAATATTAGCTTTCTATTTTGCAGTTGTTTAAAAATATAAAATCAATGCATACATAATTATATTATATTATTAATATATTATTATCACTATTCTTTTACTTATAACAATAATATTCGTATGCCTTTAGTCGTACTAAAACTTACTCCAGAAAAATTTCCAAACATGCCTCCAGGTCCCATACATGTTATCATTTCATTATAAGAAGACAAAACGTCCACCTAAAGACAATATTATTAAATTAAATACCATCGTACAACAGTAGCTTAATAAAAGAAAACTTTGCTTGAAGGTCAGATCACAGTAAGCTGACTTTAAATGAGAGGAAAACGAACAATTTACCCTGATATTTTTAAACAGAGAAAAAAATCCTTCATAAAACGAAAATCAAATAAAAATGAAACGAAAAGGAAGCCACTTGAGGAAAACGTTTGAAGTTATTTGAATAACACAAATAATTAAACGTATTATAATAGGTATAGTATAATATGCTTACTTTCTATTTTTTTTTTGTTTATTTTTCAACAAATTATTTATACCGAGTCCGCGTAAATTCATCATCAGCCCTTTTACGTCCCCACTGCAGCGGCTCAGGCCTTCGTCATTGATGGTTAAGGAGGATGGGCCATGACCCTCCATGCTGGCCCAATGCGGATTGTAGGGTATTAACGACTGCAAATGCAGCCAGAACAAACGGCTTAACGTGCCTTCCGAAGCACGGAGTAGCTCAAGATGATATTTTTTTGGTCACCTATCCCGTGACCGATCCTTTTGAAAGTTGCTTAACGACAACGATCGCGGGCCGCGGCGCTTATCCACTACGCCACCGAGTTACTCAACTATAATCTATTATATAAATTATAACCTATTTAACCCGATTATGTAGTTTCCCTTAGTTGAATTATTTTTTAATCGGTCGGTAATTTCGGAGTCTATCCAATGCTAACATACATTCAAATATATGTTATTGATTGTCAAAAATAATTGACACTAAAGTAAAAGATGAGTTTGCGTTATTCAAATATCAAATAGCTCTTTTAGCGAAGTCGGATTAACTTTATTCGATGGATAGTTCGAACTTTACTGTATTGATTAGATTAACCATCATCTCCATTAGTAACCTTCATACTTTAACAAACTTTAATAGAATTAATAATTAAAGTTCTCTTACAAATTAATTGTGCTCATACTGAAAAATACTACTTGTAAATTCTCTATTAATTACCTTTCCTCTATAAATAATGTAAATATAAGATTGTACATCATGACACTGTATAACGGTGTCGCCTTTAAGAAAATACATCTCGCGGAGGTGTTGCGTGAACACTCTTATAAATGACCTCTCCACTTTGCCGAAGATAGGCACTTCACGTAATGCCCTCTCGTACATAAACACCAGAGTGTCTTCCATCAGAGCAGTGTTTAGACCGCGGCATATTTGCTAATTAACAAACCAGAGATATATGGCAGATGATCCGGTTTTGACCATTGTAAGATCATGACCTAGTCTTGGACATTTAAAAATCATGACCTAGTTTTGGCCAGTTTAAGAATTATAAGCAAAGTGAACATTTTAAAAACTGTTAATGATAGTGTAATATATTTTTCTATGCGTTAGTTAGAACGCCTTGAAGTTCTAAATGGCCAAAAAGAGGCAGTGGCCAAAACCGGATCTTCTGCCCTGTTAGGGTTGGCCTATATATGACGGCTCTGAATACTTTCCTGTGAGTGAAAAAGATAGCGTATTGCCCATTGCCTCGTTTTCGTGTCATGCCACGAGTATCTACACCCGCTATCGTTCTCACTCTAGCAAATGGTGTTTCTGCAGTACTATTCTGTATAAGAATCAGCGTCAATCTCGATTTTGAGACAACAAAGAGCAAACATAGAACATCGATCAAACAAAACCTACTTCTAATAGTTATAAAAGTTTTATTTGATTGAATCTCTATGTTGTTATAGCTCTGTGCTTGATGCCGAGTTAAAGGCTGTTAGACAGAAAATTTTAGATGGAAATAGTTCAACCCTTAAGGGAACAAAGTTAAATAAAATTAAATAAAGCTATTAGTGTGTGTAAAAAAAATAGCCAAATTGGAAACACCCATTCATATTTTAGCGAGATTACGGTTTGGTTAATATTTGTAAGACATCAATGCGCTCCCAACCCTTTTTTCACTTCAAAATACTATTTATTGTTGGAACAAAATATTTTTCTATATTATAACAAAGAATTTATTTGTTTAAATACTTTTGTTACTCTCGTACAACCATGACGTTATATCTTATAATGTCTCTTATTTGGGTATAATTTTATCCTGTTCCGACCGATATTATATTAGTACCACTTAATTAATTATATTTTTTTTTACTTGAACTCAACTCCGTATATTGACACGATAAAATATAATATCAGTCCACGTCACTATGAGAATATTTACATTAATAAAATGTACAAATAACTAAGGCAATAATTTAACATGGAAATGTGCCTTATTAACAAAATAACTTTTATTACTTTTCTCAAAAGCCTTAGCAATATATAGAAAAAAGTATAATTGTAGCACACAATTATATTTCATATTCCGCCGATTTGTCACCTAAACTTTATCTGATCTACGTAAATTTAATATAAAAAGCAACAAAAATAACAAACTAAGTTAACTAACTCACATGATTAAAAGTTAGGAGTGTACAATCACTAACTGGCAGTTAAAAATATATATAAAGAAAAAGTAGCTCTCTCTAAACTATTCAGAAGTAAATATGGATGAGTGATTTGCTTGATATGAGCAAATGTTAAACTGCGTCTATATTTAGCCCCTCTCGCCCCACGCGGATCGGTTTCATTACATTGTATGCGAGTGATTATAGGCGTGATTATGCCCTATAATGTATACCAAGATGAATTGAAAGCGAAATTATGATACAGAACACAACATGTGTCAAGAAAAATTTTAACAATTCTCTATTTTAATTTGATTCACCATTACTCCGATTTGTTCAGTTAACCCTACAAACAGCCAGCGTCCCGCATATCGAGTAAATGAATGAAAACTATTACCTGTTAGTTTACGCGTGACGCCACGCGGCGAGTGCCAAATATAATTCAAATTCAATATAATTTATTCAATGTAGGCTGTTGCAACTTGTGAATTTCGAAAACTATGCCATCAGTTCGCAAATCTACGGCGGGAGACCTTGTACGGAGAGGAATCGGCAAGAAACTTTTTTCGCCCTGTTTTATTTATTACAGAGAAGTCTTACAGTAACTGTGGTTTTATGGTGACCTGTAATCTTTTGGAGCGCTGCAACTCATGTACACACAGCTTGAATGCCTTTAGATTATTTTAAGATGTAAATAAATAGGAGGTCTAGTAATAATTGAGAAGTGTACCTAGTTTCGAATGATATTCGTTGTTCCATTTACTTGATTTCACCTTATTTCTGAGCAAATAATGCCACAATACTATACTATACTTTTATTAAATTTGGAGTCCCAATAATTGCTACACGATCGCTATATTTTATTCTCATTTAACATATAGAAATTAATTTATTTTAACTTACTTTATCACTTGGTATTGACAGAATTATGCGCAGATAAGCTATTAATGAAAGAAGTAATCTCAATAATTAGGTGCAGTTTCAGTGAGCGATGTTAAATCTTGTTGGAAGTACGTAAAAAAGGGGGCTGAGTTATCACATTTATTATTTATTTTAGTTTACCTAACAGCCTTATTATCATGATTTGGATTTCAGAGGCTCGGTCCAGTTATCAATAGACATACATAGGTCTAAACAAGCGACAAATCTAAACGCGGCGAGGCTGCAGTTTACGTGTATAGTCTAGTGTTCCTATCGCAGGCTAAAAGACTTAAAATGACACAAAATATTAATTGATGGTTGAAAAGAAATGATACGATACAAAGGGAACGATATGCATCGCTGTAATACATTTTCGTATCGTTTCCCTTATCGCGGGACTAAATATTAAATTCGAGGTAGCTTTGTATTTTTTTTTATCAAGAAACTTTAAAAAATACACGTTTTAACCCAATAATTCTTTAGATTTCCTTCCATATTCATTACCCTTTTTGTTACATGTTTAATATATTGCAAAAGAATGGCTATCGTTTGTTAAATATATAGTAATACTTTTCCCGCGACTTTGCCTGCATAAACTATAATAATACAGCGTATGATGCAGCTTCCCGTGGGTGAAGTATTTTTAAAATCATTCCAATAGTTTCGGAGCCTATCTAATAAAATAAAATGAATCAAACCTTTCGTCTTTATATTATTATAGATAAATTCCACTAACTTGTGGATTACTGCCGTTGTTCTTCTTCCATACATATTCGAAGTATTTCAATGTATTCGCGGTGAGTACTGGATCGACGTTTTGCTGATAAAGAAAGTTTGCCAGGTCCTTTGTTTTCTCCTACAACATGTATCAAAACTGTACTCGTTAAAACTAATGTAATTACTGAGTAAAGTAATAATAATTAATATTTTTAATAGTCAAAGTTTCGCCATTTCAGTGTAGAGAATACTTTTAGACTTACTAATATACTTTAATTTACGTTTGGTTTGATGTGTTTTGTAATATTGTTTTGAACTATTTTTTTTCTTTATAATTAAGAAATAATTAAGAAAAAAATCGTTAAAAGTTTAAACACAGAAAACTACAAAAGGAATCCTCAGTCCATTACAATTGTTGGCGTCTAGCTGGGAAGACACCACCATTTTTAACCGACTTCGAAATCGTAAAGAAGGAGGTTATATTTGTCCTTCGTTATATAATTATATTAGTTAAAACAAAATGTATGATTTTCGGTACATCTAACCTAAATAGGTACAGTATATAATAAGGTTAGAAGGCCAACTAAATAGTTGGCATCTGCTGCAGAACCGAGTCTTTCAACATACAGCGCTTCAAAACCTCAGATTCTTAGAATTACTAAGTATACTTCAAGCAGATCATTTCAAAATAGTGAATTATAAAAGTACTTAAAATTCCAACCAAGATAAATAAAATTTACTGCGAGATAAAGTTACTATTTTACTAATCAATCCCGGAGAATGAAAAGCATGCCTCTATATTAGCCAAATGTTTCCTGGTAGAAATTGCAACATTAGCAATAAGACGGATTTAGCATATATGTTTGTTTCTTTTTGATTTATGTGTTTGTTTTTAGTGCAATAAAATATATTCATTCAATGAATCAATTATATGTTCGACGGCTTTAATTTTTTTTTTCGTATGTTCACCGATTTCTCCGCTTTATAATGACCTATTATTTAAATTATTTTTTTATTCGACAGGTTAATGACCCGAGGAAGTCCCATTCAATTTTTATAGAAATCGAATCAATATATTTTTATATCAGTATTTCTTTATATATCAAAACAAAATATGCTTTTTATCAAATATTACCAAATTTAAAGGTAATATGTTCATATCAACGAAAAATCAAAAGATTACGTATTTTGCATTTAATCAAAATTTGAAAGGAGCACTTCTTGTGTTAATGGCTGTGATATTCGATTTCTTTTTCAGTTGTGAACTAATTTATATCAAACTAGCTGTTTCCTCGCAACTTCGCCTGTGTATATCATCTTCCATCCAAAAAACGTCTCGATCGCAGTTGCATGTCAAATAGTTGTAGCGTGAAGTACGAAAGTATCATTCAAATGCGTAATTCAATGTTATTGCAATAGATTTTAAATTAGATAATTACTGGTCATGGTTTAGCAGAACAAATTGAAAGAGTTCTTACCGAATGATCCAACAACGCATGCGCCTGTGTTGATCTCGAAGCAGCAACGTACCCAAACACAAACGCAAAGTATAGATATCCAGTCATCGTTAGCGTAATACTCAACCACATATTGACATTGTTTGATACTCCAAAGGGCGTGCAGCCGCATCCTAATACACAAAATGCAAATTATTAAAACCGATATGTATAAGTTTCGTGGATCTCGGTAGCACACTGAATAATGAAAGTTGCTAAGCAATTTCTGTCACTGGATGTGTAACTGAAATATTTGTATCTCAAGCTACTCCGTGCTTCATAAAACACATCAAGTCGTCGTCGGTCCAGGTTTCATTTGCAATCAATATACATTACACATTAGGCCAACGTGAAGGGTTATGTTCTATCCTCCTTAACCCTTCATAAGGAAGCCCTGAGTTCCTACAGTAGGGACGTAAAAGGCTGATGATAATGATGTACTTTTAATCCCCATTCCACTTCCTTAGAGTTTGACTTTCCACGAGATCTTTCTTGGTGAGTGTCTACTCCATAAAATAACTCTACTAATCAAAGACCATTGTTGTTGTTAGACTTCAATATTTACTCTCGATAATGATGAATCATTCAGGATTATTTATTTTCGCCACCGACT